CTACAGGTTTCACCCAAGAAACATGTCGCCCTGAGACCGACCTAATAGTTCAAAAGCTGTCGGCTCTGGGCCTTCAGCTATGAGCTCTAAAACCACCTGGGAGCTTGTTCAGAAATGCAGAGTCCAAGGCCTCAAGCCAAACTGCTGAGTTAGAATCTGCATTTCAGTAAGGTGTTCATGATTCATATGCACAAAAAAAGGGGGACAGTGAAAAGCAGTGTTTTAGAGCGTTTTGCCAAAGCAAAACAATAGCCATTGAACATATATATGTTCAGGTTAATGTGACCTCGGTAACATGGATTTTTTTTCATTATTTTTTTTTAGTGTAGATGAGGAAGATCAGTATTTCAGAAAAAATGTTTATATCTTGAACTGTGGATATGGAGATAGCTTACCAGGGGCTACTCTGGTGAATTTTTAAGGCCTCACTAACGTTGTAGATAGCTTCTGTGTCTTACAATGAAACCCACTTTACCATAGGCTAATTGATAAAAAGTCCCTAAAGCATCCCAACAACGTTACAACAGACATCATTGGAAGACCTGCTGTAGCAGCATTTAAGCCGCAATGCCACCGACAGAGTTGTTGGCTTCCCCAAGACAAATCAAGAGGAAGAAGCCCAGAGAAACTTCCAGAGTTCATTAAGCTTATGCTGGAGCACGAGGAGGGCAGCACAGAGGAAAGGAAGGGCCTCCCATCTGGCTGGGGGCCTGGCCCTCGTGGCTGCTTTTATAAGTTGGGGGGCAAAGTGGGCTTCCATGAAAAGATGGAAAGACCTGGCTTTTTGAAAAAGGCAGGCTTGCAGAAATAGACATTTCAGCGTCCAATGACTTCTTTTTCCAGCTGTCTATCCTGGCGGGGCTGTTGGCCCCAGTGCCGTGGGGAAGTCTGAGGAGAAGGGAAGTCGGTAATACGATAGGGCTCAGGAACAGCACACCAAGTGCACCTCCTCCCCCCATAACCGGTGTGGGGCTGCTTCAGTGATCCAGACCTATAGTTCCTCGTTAGTCCTGTTTGCTCCTGAGCCTTGCCACCTGGGAACAAGTCTGTCGTGAAGACGGATTCTAGAACGTTTCAGGGTGACGTATTGAGTATCAGCGGCCCCGTTTTTATCAGCACCTACGTCGAGACGGAGTCAGGAATTCAGGGTTGGTTGGCTCTTCTGCATTTTAAGGTTTGGCCCCCAGACAAGGAGAGTGTGGACATCGCCCCACCCCCTCTTTTCCCAAACACTCTGTTTGCATTCTCTCTTGATGTATGAATTGTATGGCTCCACACTTTATCCCAGTTGCTGCTTTAGAAGAAAAACTGCCTTGAGGAAGTTTACAAGGTATGAGAAGTGGTATGAGGCGGGGAAGTTAGGGGCTGTTGTTAAAATGAGACTTGAGGGCAGCAGAGGACCGCTGAGACCATCCAGCCCTGGCTGGCTGGGTCACTGGAGGAAGTGCCTCTTTGCGGTCTGTGGCCGACAACATCAATGTCCACATTGCCAATTTTTCTGACTGGAGTCTCTGGCTGTGCCCTATCCTGGAAGATGTAAGGTGCTAAGTATCAGCTTTTAAGGCCTGGTATTATTAAAAAGTAGTAATCAGTTTCTTTGGGACTAAAACATAAACTTTTATTTCAAGAATTACCATTCAATAAATTTCATGAAACTGGCCTCAACATGTATCATTGACCAGCCACCTAGTCCACTGGTAGCAGTAATACTGCCTGTTTGTCTCTCCCTGTCTCTCCCTAAGGCAGTGTGTGCACCACTCACCCTAGAGCACATGGGTAATGAAAAGACCAAGAGTCTTCCACCAGGGCTTGGAACCTGTAGGTCAGGGAGGGTGAATGAGCTAGGCAGCCACATTTCTTACATCCTGGGTTGTACTTGGGGGCATAGCCCTCTGCTCCTGTGATAGCAGCACTTTCTCAGTGTTGCAAGTGGAAGAGTCACTGAATCCCAAACGGGACCACTATTACACAGCCATAGGTCATTGCATTGACCTGGAAGGGAACTTGTAAGTCTGGTGTCATGGTGACCAGAAGCGAAAAGTCAGACCAGCTAAAGAGTGTTCCTGAGTTTGGCATTTAACCCTCCCTCCCTCCCTCCCTCCCTCCCTCCCTCCCCCTCCCTCCCTTCCTTCCTTTCTTCCTTTTCTTTCTCTCCCTTTCCCTCTTTCTTTTCTTTCTTTCATGCAAACCTGTGCTTCCAAATGTTTCAGAAGAAAGACAAAAATCAAAGACCTAAAGGAGATGTTTTCCAGATTCTATCAAGACCAGCCAATATAATACAGAGGCCGAATATGGAGTTTTCCTAGAATTTCCTAACAAGATTATGAACTACTACACAAGTCATTAAGACAGTAATGGCATCACTCTCTGGAGGTTTTATTTCTTAATGAAGAGGTGGCTTATCCTAAAGAAGCGGGAGACTGTCAACGTCTGCTACCAGAAATGGTATTCAGGTGTGACTTAGGTTTTCCCTTACCAATACATGGATACAGAAGGTCATGAGACCAGTGGTGGCACCCTTGTTGCTGCTGCTTCTACTGTATTGTTGACTCAGACACCGGCCCTCAGTGTCCATGGCGTCATGGATGAGATGAGACATATTCACACGGACTACTGAGTCCTGTGGAGGAAAAGAGACAGCGCAGCTACTCTCTCAAAGGGAGAGCACCTCAGAGTGGTCTGGCAACTCTCTCAAGAGGAAAGTGCCCTGATCCTTGCCTTGACAGGTTTTTATTGGATTCAATTTGCCTAGGAATATAGGTAAAGCTCATTAATCATTGCCAGGCAGTGGGGATCAAACAATAGATAACATACAAAGAACTATGAGGGCTTATTCTGAGTCAGGGTCTGTTAGCTAAAGGGCTACAAAACTTTGGGAAACAAACTCATTTCCTGCTCGGGCCCTTATTATTTAATTGAGAGCATTCTTAGCAAAGCAGGTTTCATGGGATTTTATGCATTCGTTCTTAGGCCTGATCGCCCTGGGGAACCTGCCCTTTCCAGCACAGGGCCGCACCCACCTCTGTCATTGTTTCAGGCTTAAATCAGGCAGGGGGAGTAAGGCAGCTAAGAGACTAGGAGACTTCTCGCAGACAGAATGAGGACTCAGGCTATGTCAAAGCCGAGGGGTGAGGGTCCGTCACCCCCTTTTTCTATAGCCCCCCAAGTCCTTCCCTTGGGACCCCCTGCAATCGTGCCTGTCTTAGATCATTCCCCTCTTGGGGAATCTTACTCGTCATTGGCTAACCGACCAAGCATTGGGGGCCAGGCAGGATGAAGTAAAAGGAGGAGAAGTGGCGCCCCTGCCAGGGAGAGAAGCTTTGTCTCCTTAGTGGCTTATGGTCTGAAGGTCGCTCACTCAGCCTTAGCCATGGGGGAGTTACAGCTCCTGAAACCAGGCAAGGCGCTTCCTAACATAATGTAAATAATATTGAGTTTCATCTCATGGCAATTCTGAGGACTAGTAGCAACCACATGGGGTACAGGCTTGGGGAACTTGGAGGTTTGAGGATTTCCGCAGAAACACATCAGCCATTGGTTCATGGCGATGAAGAGGATCAGACAGGCCAGAACTGGGAAGGCTCCTGCCCAGGGTGCAGAAGTGCATTGTTCTCCGTGCTCTTGGTGTTGCGCTTCGGAAGGTTCTTCTTCCCAAAACAGAAAAGTCACATAGAATTCCAGCTGATCTTTATCTCACTGTACTTCCTTGCCTCAAAGTCGTGGCACGTGACTCTTTGACATGATTTTTTGTTTTTGCTTTTGTCTCCTCTAGCCTGCGGGCTCTGTCAAGGCTGAGGATCGTGACAAGTACCCAGAGTCACACAGGGCCAGAGGAGACGGGAGGTTTGGGAGGCCAGAGCCTTCTTACGTTGTTCTTTCGTGCCTCCCTCGAGCCTGCCCTGCACTGTGGGGAGGCCTTACCTATTTTCATTAAGAGATGAGTTTGCTACATCGATAGTTCTACCAGTGTAATGGTTTTATCGTAAGTCAACAAGACTCATAGGCTACAAGGAAAAATAACTTCCGTTATGTCTCCTGGGTTCTTTAAAATGTATTCCATGGAACTGGTTCCTGCTTCTGTGTCAAAAGCTGGGTAGCCCCTCCTGCTGTTCGGGCACTGCTGGCCAGTACACACGGTGCAGGCGTGTGCGTGGTGGCGGGCAGGATTTTGTGTTGATTTTTGCTTAAATGACTTGGCTCTTAGGAGTTTTGTATGAGAAGTTCGCTACATTTGTTAAGATAAATGCTTAGAATAAACAAGGCTCTTACTAAATTCCTATGTTAGTATCACTAAAATACCCCTTTCCTCTGCCATTCCTTAGCTTCTAGTAACTTCCCTCCCTGGTGTTTCTCACCGTTCTCCTGTGATGATCTCCCTAATTTAGACCTTTTGCTCACACCTACACAAGCAAATGCCCAGGCCCAAAGAAGAAGACTTTTTTTTAATCAGCTTCATTCCTATCTTCCACTCCAGTCCCAAATTTTAAGAAATTCAGCATGAACCAGTCTTGGGATCATGCTGGCTTCATGGGTTGGATTTCTTTACCATCATCTTATGCTGGTTTAGCTTAAAAAATATGAAGAGAGGAAAGGTCATTTCATCCCACAAACTTTATGTCCAAATGTGAAAAGTCCACAGACAGAAATACAGGGGAACTAATGGGAAAAGGTCCAGGGGGTCACAGCAGCTCTGGCCTTGTCCGGCTCCGGCTCCGGCCCCGAGGGCGAGGTCACTCTCCTCCCTCGGCTTCCGTTGCAAATGGCTTCAGCGACAAGGTTAGTCTCCCGTTTTCTCTGGGCTCAACATTTTATCTTCATTGAAAAAGGTACATTTTAAAAAGCGCGTTGTCTTGGCGCTCGGGTCGTCCGTGTGATGACATTCACCCGATCGTGCTGGTAAGACTGCCTTGAAGATACACACCGACAGCCATGTGCTGTGTGTAGCCGTTGTTTTACACAGCCTGCAAAGTATAAACACACTCTCGGAACAGACAAGTGGGTGAAGATTCAGACTTTTTTAATTCATTAAAAAATACATTTAAGTTGCCAGGCTCAGATGAGTACACAATATTTTTCACTTAATTATCATCCAACAGGGGAAAGCCGTGGGGATTTTTATCCATGAGAAGAGAGGGTAGCACAGGAAGGCACGTCTTTGGTTTTGTACTGCTTTTTACGTTTCACTACCGGTGAGTGACAGCGGCAGAGCACAGACCCTTCGTCTCACAGCTAGAAATTTCTTTTAGAGTATTCAAACCAATTTCCAAAGCTTTATTAGTGAGGAAATCTAGGGCTGGACGGATGAAAGCATTTAACTGAGAACATTAGAAAACAATGTAATGGTGACCTGTTAAAATATTCACCCGCATGTCCAGTACGCAACTCTGGTTGCATTTCCAGAGTTATTGGTGAGGAAACATCCTTCTTTCTGTTCCTCAGGGTTCTCTGACTGTTTACCTGAATTACTCTCCCAGGGGAACACAATGGGTGCGTCAGCCAGTGGCCTGGAGGACACGATGCTGTAATGTCAGATGCACTTAAATGAGCCACTTATACATATGGAATGTTTCACTTCTTTTTAATGGAAAAAACTTTTATATTGATTTATGCATGAAAGGATGAGTGCGAGTGTCATTTTATACCTCTATGTCTGTACCTGTGTCTATGCACAGGTACAAATGTGTATTTACATGTATGTATGCATGCATGCAAAGCATTTCTAATAACACACTTTATTATTGTGACTAAAAAATATCATCATCACTAGTGTGATCACTAGTGTGATAAGATCACCTTATCTTATTTATTCAGGAATGAAGGAAATGATAGGATTTAATTTGTTTAAAGAAATGAAAAATAGACTCAGGAGTTTAGGATGAGAAGAGTTTAGATTTCATCTATGAATTACAAGCCTTTGGATCAGAACTCTGAGTCCGTGACCTGGAAACATTAAGCTAACACACAAAAGCGGGCATGAAAGAAAAGACTTGTTCTTCTTTTCGAAATATTAACAAGTGGAGGCTTTTTCCATCACTGAGTCACTGGACTCACTAGGATGAAATTTTCATCCTGAAATTCAACAATCTAAGGGTGTCTACAATTTATTAGCGTGTTCAATTTACACGTTGATTTTTCACTTGACTGAAGTTTCTTGTCTTCTAGTTCTTCCAAAATTTGGCTTGGTGAGCAATGTATCATTCGTTATTGTTCTGTGGAAGGACTACAGAGAAAAAATAGAAAACAATAGTATGAGGCATAGTTATATTTAAATACAACAGGAAATTAGTGCATAAAATACATTTCAGAATTTTATATTCTTACAGTGTTGGCCTTACATATAATTGTTAGGAAATGAAAGGAATTTGCTTTTGGACTAGCTTTACTGGAGTTATGTGTAAAGATATGGAATTTCTTGGGAAATCTGTTCTATAAGCTTTTGGTACTTTTCAGCTCCTGTGAATTGCTCTGGTGCTGGTAGGGAGGCTCCAGCATAGTTCAAGTTTACATCTTTTTTTTTTTTTTATGTAAGGGATACCAACATCTGGATGGTTTTTTCAATGTAAAATCTCCCACTTTTCAAGGCTGGCAGTAAACACTTTTTGGGGGGAAAACATTGCATGGGGCAATACTGTTCTAGATGAACAGAATACACCCAGAGTTCTCCACGTGAGGCGCATTTACTTAGCAGCAGGGAGTGAAAACGAAAACAGGAGCCTGAAAGACAGGCCCGTTGCTCAGAGGAGGTTATTTGGGACCGAATCCTGTGCACTAGACAGTAGGTAACAGGCCGCAGCACCTCCTGTGGTCAAGAGCTGTTCTAGATGCTTTACTTGCAGCTCATTTCACCTTCATGAAGCTCTATTAGGTTTATCATTACGTGCCTGCTGAGTCACCTCCATAGACTAACATTGTCATCTCCGTGTGAGTAGCTGGCTGGAGGCTCCCAGTGCTGGAGTGTGGGCCGGAGTCCAGGTCTGGCCCGGACCTGGGGATCTTAAACCACACCCACTGCAGCGTCTCCTTTATATATAACTTCACGGTTTGGAAAATAAGTGCACGGAGCAACTTCATCTTTGCTTTACATGCAGTGTTTGTCTAAGTTTTTATAAAAAAGACGCTTTATGCCTAAGAGAATTTCATTATGCTGCAGACAAATGTCCACATTAAAAGAAAATGTTACAGAAGCAGCATTGATGAAATAGAATATAAATGAATCCTAACTGGACACACCCTTTCCAAATCAGAAAGAGGTAACTCGCTAATTTATTTCCCCTCCCAAAAGGCAGTAGGCAATAAGAACAGTTACACCGACCTGGATTTTCAGTTTCTACAGAGCTTAAAGGGTCATCTGTGTTTTGTGGGAATTCAGGTTGGGCGGTAACTGGATTTCTCTACAAGTAAAAAGCAGAAAAATATTAATGTCATAATTTTATAAATCTAAGATCCTAACAAGAAAAAGGTCTCAGATGAAAAATATTTTTGGCTAAAGTCTCCTTTTGGTTAAAATTCACTTTGTAGAGTATTTTTTTAGTTATACCTTCAAAGATATTATAAACCTTGATATAAACTTGAATTTGTACTTCTGTGCAATATTTGTCATTTCCATAGGTGAATCGCACCTCAGACACGGACCCTGTCATACTTCAGTGATATAATAAAAAAGCTAAAATGAACAGTTTTTTAAAAAGTGGTAAAATGCTGTGTCAGATGGACTTAGCTTAAGTGATTAAAAACTTCACTCATGCCTGAAAGTTTGTGGGTGAAAATCTGAAAAATTTGTTTCAGGAAATATGATAATGAAAAAAAGCAAATGTTTTAAAAATATATAAATCTATCATGTTATTTTAAATATTTTTCATACTAAAATTAGATAAATACTACAATTACAGCTGTCATTATTTCATCTATAGCCATCAAAATATATTACATCAAGTTAGACAAAAACTGTGGAGGCTCTTTCATTGGAAAAGGAGGAGGGACTTTTGGGGGGGCTTTCTTTATAGGGCAAATGCAACAAAATTTTTTTACCAGAGTAATTCAGTGCCTTTTCTGTGTCTAGTTGAAAAAGATTTTTTATGCCGCTTTGTTTAATCAAACCCAGAGGAATAGACCCTCCTAGTGATGTTTACACCAGTATTTACTGCAAAATTAAAAAGTGAATGCTCCTGGCTGGTGTAGCTCAGTGGTTTGAGCTCGGGCTGCAAACCAAAGCATTGCAGGTTCGATCCCCAGTCAGAGCACATGCCTGGGTTGCAGGCCATGGCCCCCAGCAACTGCACATTGATGTTTCTCTCTCTCTCTCTCTCTCTCTCTCTCTCTTTCTCTCTCTCTCTCCCTCCCTCCCTTCACTCTCTAAAAATAAATAAAAACATAAAATCTTTAAAAAACAACAAAAAAAGTGAATGCTCACCATACGCAGTTTGCCGACGCCGTAAGCAAAAAGCAGTATGACTCCGATGACACCACCCATCACCAGAAAGATAATGATTATGATCACTGCAGGGGGAGAGAAAGAGCAGACAGTGACAACGTGCGACATAGATCGGCACCCACCAGCTGAAAAACAGGACAGGTGAAATCAGGGTCACATCACTTAGGCCTTATAGGGCCTTCTTATAGAAAGAACACAAACTCTTACGCATATTTTATCTTTTCAAAAGTTAGGGTTTTCATAGTAACCGTGTGAGAAACTGAACCTTTGAATAGTAAAGTCCTTTGTTCAAGGTCACACATGTGGCAGAAGCACGACCCGAGAGTTCCCGCTCCAGGTCCAGCATTCTTTGCGGGGTCTCCCAGGCGTCATGCATGCACATGGCTAGCAGCCATGAGGGCAAGCCGCCCCGGTATGGGAAGAACCATAGAGCGTTTCATAGTTTCAAAGTGACAAGGGAAAATGATGTCTCGATGTAGAGAGGGGTACTGTGCGGATCATAGAATCAGGATCAGAAGTGTCCAAGGGAAAAAGCAGTTTACGAATGAGGAAGAGAAGTCTAGTGAGCTTAAGTTACTTACCCTAGGTGAGACCACTCGTGAGAGGCAATTCAAGTCACCTCTATTCTAAGGTTCTGTTCCTTCTATATTATCCTTATGCATAGTTCATAACACAGTCACTAAAAATATGTGTTCACATCTTTTACCTGGTTTACTTGGAAACAAAGTTTAAGTCAGCAATGCTCTCGCTTGTTCATAGCACACAGGGTCCGGCAGAAGTAACGCCTGCGTGAGTGTGGTTGTTAGGGTAATAAATAATATGGGTGTAATAATTTGTGGTTTTATTTTGAACACAAAGTGTCCTATGGTGTGCTTGAGTGTGATATTGTTATGTTATAGAATGACATGCTTATGATTTTGTAATAAAAGATTTTGTATTAAAAAGGGGCATTATTTTGTTGGACCTTGTATTTGTAGTGGCTCCAAATGAAGTACATGGAAGGCAAAATATACAGGTCACATGGTTTACTCGTTTGGCTAATTTATATTTTAAAGTCTCATGAGTGATTGAAATATAATAAAAGTAACTCCCCCTCATTGGTATTGCCCAGCCTTCCTGCCCACTTAGCTTTAATTTGTGAGATAGTGATTCAGTTCCACAATCCACTTTCATTTTCTTGTGTGAAGATTGGACAAGTGCAAAGGGAGGCTGAGAAATGCAGAACAGTAAACAAGCACATTCCCGGCTGAAGCCAGAGCTACGGCAGCCCCGAAGGTGGGAAGCCACAGGGCCCAGTTAGAGAGGGTTTGGCAGACAGCCCCAAAGTCCGACAGGCAGGCTACCTTAGGGCCCAGAGTGGATTGGGACTGGGACCTGAATGGCCTGTGTTTATTCTTGATACGGGGGCCAGTTAATGAGATGATGTTAAACTCTTTGCTTTCTTCACAGGAGGGATGAGAGTTCAATTGTTTTATAAGCTCTTAAGAGATTTTTCTCTAGTAACAGTGGTGGTTAGAAAGCCAGACCATCTAACCTAAAAGAAAAATTATTGTGAAGTTACGTATTGCAAAGTGTTCAGGAAAATAAGAGCCTTGGCTGGGGAGCTCAGTGGGTTGGAGTGTGGTCCCCCACCCACACAGCAAAAGGCTGCAGCCCTATCCCTTGCTGGGGCGTGCAGGGGAGGTAACCCATCAGCGTTTCCACATCGGTGTTTCCCTCTCTCTCTTCCTTCTTCTCTGAGATCAATGTAAAGGAAAAACAATCCTCAGGTGAGAATGCAAAAACATAAAAAAAGAAATGCCTATTTTAATTTTAAAAAGAGCATATTTTGTTTGCCTTTACAATTTTGAGTGATTCAAGTTCATAACATACTCTTTCGTTTTTAACATCGACACTTCTTGTTTCCCTGGGCCTGGGGAGCTAGCAATACCTAACCCACAAGGGCAAGGTGGTCAGCTCGGGTCAATAGTAACGTACCTGGTTCTGAGAAAGGGTGTTCTATTTGTCGTCTTGCTCCTAAAAAGACAAAATGTCAACATAAGTCAGAATGTATAAGTTAGCATCTCTAAGAAAACACCATTTTGCAATGAGATGGTTTAGTGGGTTTCTTTTCCTTCACTGCGTTTAGGGAGCTACTGTTGTTCACGTCTCAACAGCCGGTAAAACTCGGACGGAGACCCTGTCTTACCCTCAGCAGTCCCCCCTCCTGCTTCCCACCTCCCACCCAACAAGATTTCACGGGGTGGACATCAGGAAACCATCTCCCGAACTAAAGGGCAGGGTGTGAGAAAAGATCGAAAGAATGCCTGTTGATTTCTATAAGAAATAGAAGCACATTAAAAAACTTGTAAAAATAATTTTAAAAATTAAAAAAAATTTTAAATGTAAAGATGCGAACAGAAAGGAGACACATGGCGCCATCATCGCCCGACAGGGCTGCACGCAGGGTTGCCCGGAAACGGGTCGCACCGCTGGCGGTTTTCTAGGTCTGGGCCGCGGCCACCAGCCGAACCCAAACCCTTACTGGGTCTCATCTGCGGCTTTGTCAACAGTCCCACAAAATTCTCTGTCTGCAGAAGTTTCCAGTACTTCCAGTCTTAATGCTTCACCAGGATTAGCCTCTCCCTGGTCAGTCCGCATTCCACATGTCTTTGCTGTGCGTCTCCAAATGCCATCTGATGGCACAAAGCCCGTTCACTACTGCCGCCCTGCAATGTTCTGGAACTTAATTATCACAAATAGCAGGTTGCACTCTATCATGTCCCAAGGTCAAGGACTCGGTTAGGTTTGGTCATTCTGCAGCAGTTATGTATGAAGGTTAACTGGGGCTTGTCTTTTCTTTCTTTGTGACAGCTGACTCTGGTCATTGGTGTGTGGGGCCCTGGCACAGAACGGATGGGGTTTCAGCCTCTTACTGGTTTGGGTGGCCTTGGACAAGTCATTTAACTTCTTTGCGCTTTAGGCTTCTCTTGAACAAATGAAGACGATAATACCTATCTCTCTCAGGTTCCCATGAGGATCCAATCAGATAATGCCCGAAAACTCTCAGCACCACGGCCCCCCATGCTTAGCCGTTATTTGCGGGGTTCATGGTCTGGGATGCTGTGTGTGTGTGTGTGTGTGTGTCTGTGTTGGCACTTAAATGCTTTCTGGTTTGACACCACCGTGTCGATTTCACATTGAAATCATCTTGAAAATCTGATTGTTTAACTGGAGCCTCGTAATTCGTTCTGAGCACTTAGCCTAATTTTCTTCTCTGTTAACATTTGCCACTTCCATGTATCTCAGTATATACTGTCTCGATGCTTCTATTAGCTAAAGGGTCCCATAGCCACTCCACTCCCACTCTTCTGTGAAGCTTTATTTTAAGTCTGGAGTGTCCTGCTGCAATCCCACTCACGAAGACCTTCTTCCTTTCTGCTTTCAAACTGCCCCCGTAAAGTCATCTTCTCCCCTGGGAAAGAACCGGAGAGCGGGGGGTGCTGCCTGACACCCTTATCTCAGCACCCAGCTGGGTTTAAGGTGCTCGGTTATTAGGTGTTTCTGGCGTGTCAGGCTCCGAGCTAAGCAATTCTACACACGTCTCCTCCCTCTTCAGAGAGATCCCGTGAGCTAAACGTTATGGGCTTCATTTGAAAATGAAGGGGACAGAGGCCAGTGGAGGAGATGCACTCGGGGCCAGCAGCTGGGAGATCTGAGCGCCGCCCCCCCCAACCCCGCCCAGATTCACCCCAGGCCCCCCTCCCCACGCGCTGGGGGCTCACTCTCTGCGGTCCAGCTTTCCACAGTCACATTCATCCCTTCGGTACTTTGCTAACTTGCTTGAATTTCTGTAACCTAAAGTGTCGTTTCTGTGAGACAGTTCAGAAGTGAGAATTACTCGGAAGCATAGGGACTGTGTCTACTTACCGGCTTCTGTTTCTTAGACTTTGTCACCGTTTCCTAGCAGTGACAGATCCCATGCAGTGGCATTGCATCATAGCAGTTAACTCCAGGGTGACTATTTAAAAATAGGAACAAACCTGTTTGCTCTCGTCCTGTGCCAGGGTGACTTCTAGTGACTGATTGTTCTGTTTTGCTCAAGTGAGTAGCAGAAGGAATTGTGGGGGCACCTGGACCTGTATAAAATAGAAGTTGAAGACAGCATTGAGAATGAGGGACAGAGTAGAATGCGGGGCACATCACGAAGACAAATCCAGCCCACATCGCCCCCACGTGCACAGCATTTCACAGAACGGGGGGAAACAGTCTCTGTCCCATGCCTCCCTCACCTCATCTCCCAGATACAGTCCTATTTCCTCCGTAAAAATCAGCACAAAGACACTCTTTTTAAAAAAATGGGATTTTTTGAGTGACCTGGGTGAATAAAATTCTATAGATGTCAGGTGTACAATTCTACATGCACCACCTGCATACTGTGTGGTGTGTTCACCACCCCAAGTCACGTCTCCTTCTGTCACCATGTACCCTCGTCCACCTCCCCCTTTTCCCTCTGGTCACTCTCCACTGCTGCTTGTGTTTAGGAGGGTGGTTTTGTTTTGTTTTGTTTTTGCAACAAAGACTCTCTTACATTTAGTTTTCTTCTTGCCTCATAAAAGGTAAATCGTTTGTACAGTTGCTCACCCATACTTCTTTTTCTCTGTATACATCCTCAGGTGCCTAAGCTCCTTTCAAACTTCAAGGTAAGGAAGCCAACATTCCACAGTATGTGCCCTCGACAACCACCAAGAATGTTTTAATGCTTCATTTGATAGCCACGGCCCTCATGTCTATCTGGGTCACCCAGGTTTCTCAGGCCCTAATCAGCTAATAGACATCTGTGGACATACTCAGTTCTGCAAAGTTGTAAAATTTCTGTGAATACATGGATTTTATACAGGGCTTTTTCCAATAGACCCTTTAGTCGAGTCTACTTGATAGAAAATATCCAACTAAGCTTGTAATTATTAAACAACAGTCACGATTTGCCTAAACCGCTTAGGGATTGGATTATGAGAAGGGTCTCTCCCTTCCTCCCTTCCTTCCTCCCTTCCTTCCTTCCTTCCATCCTGCCTTCCATCCTTCCATCCTGCCTTCCTTCCTCTCCTGAGCTCTGGGCCCATAACTTTCCGTAGTTAAATCAACGAGTCTGTTTACATTGTTTTCAGATTAAAGGCCAATTTAAATATTGTTCTATTTAATTTAGAAGGTACTTTAACATTACAAGGTCACCTGGAACATTCACTCCAGCTTCCTTACTGTGCAAATAAGAAATTTGGTACCATTAGAATTAGATGATTCCCTCAGGTTATAACAGCTGGCGGGGACAGAGACAGACCCAGTTCTGCCCACGCCCACCATTGTTCCCCCTCCCAGCCGGTCCCTCTGCCTGGCTGAGATCTTGTCGGCAAGATTTCTTGGATGTTTTAGCTTATGACCTGATGACCACTGGGGTGCATTGTACATACAACAAGGCCAGTACATCTCTGGAAATTCCCCGCCGTCCGAAGGGCTAGCGTTTTAGTAATAATCAGGTAGTTTTTATTTTGATGGCTTTTTCAGACTGGTGTTTTGGTACTGCTCACATTCCGTCCCTCGGCCCTCAGAGTCCTCCTGCTGCTCAGAGAAACCGGGTTCTGCTCCAGCTCTGTTGACACGCAAGTCCTTTTCTTACACGCTTCACCTTTCTCTCAGGGACATGTGCAGACTACACCTGGAAAAGGCCACCTCTTTCTGCTAGAGAAGCACATTGACCTTGTGGTGTTACGGAAGGTGTATCCAGCACCTGGCTACCCAGCAACACAAGGGCTTTGGACCCATACTGCATGTTCTCTTGGCTGCACGGTGCTCCGAAAAACTCACCCCATGCCTACTTGTAATGAAGCACTGGCTGAACCTTGAAGGGCAGGTGGAGTTTTAAGCAGAAATGCAAAGAAGGGGGAAGTAAGGTAAAGAAAGAGCATGGAGAGAAAGGAGACCAGGGGACAGCTAGCAGGCAAAGGCAGGCAAACCTCTCAGACTGGCAAAGGCTTAATGTTCAAGTGGAAAATTAGTGCAAAATAAAACAGAGAGGCAGGTTTGGCAAGGCCTCAAACCCCTAGTTTAAATTTGCATGGTCGTCTCATCTCATAGTTTATGCTTGTGTAACATCTGAATTGTTCCAAGCCTCTTTGGTCTCTTCTTACCTGCCCTGCTCTGACCCCACACTTGCTCAGGAGCACTGCGGCAGCCTGAGATGTCTGTGCGGGGCGGGGTGGGGGTGGGGGGCAGTGAGAGGGCCCTGCCGCCGCTCCTCCTGTACCAACGAGGTGGGTCGACCTGTGGGCCCAGCACACTGGTAGGGATGCAGCTGGGAAGAGAGGTCCAGCCTCCTAACATTCTGCTCTCTGTGCTGTATCCATTGAAACCACACGGCTCTCCCTGGCCGTGGACATTTCTAACATGGAATGTCCGCAGAAAGAGTAACAGCACAGTGCAATGTTGGGCGAATCCCCCGCAGGCTTGCTGTACAGGGGTGTTAAGCTCATTTTCACCGGGGCCCACACAGCCTCATGGTTGCCTTCAAAGGGCCGAAACAATTTTAGGACTGTATACGTGTAACTACTCCTTAACTTTCAAGGAGCTGAAATTACATGCGGCCCTCTGAAGGCAACGCCAAGGCTGATGTGGCCCCGGTGGACATGAGTTTGACACCCCTGCTCTACGCCAAAGCTTCCCGTAGCTGGACTCCTGTCCCGAAGCGATAAAGCCAGCTCACGCAGCTGCTGGCTCGGTTTTCGTCCCCTCCCGACTTGCAGCTGAGGAAGTCTTATCTTGCAAAAGCAAACTCTTACAAGGGTGCACCCTCCGTATTAAATGCCTTCAATAGTTTCCAAGGCAGAGCACTACGTTTTCTGGGTTTTGTGGCTTTGGGCTTGTGATGACCACGAAAACTGATCGGTGCATTTATTTGTGGAAGTCCCTCACAGCTGACATGTGGTATGATGGGGACAAAAACTCACATCCGCTGACTGTTAATCAACTTTTTTCTGCGAAACTGTACTGTTTTATACCGAACGCAGGCATAAATGGGGATCTTGCTTGCTCCAGATCACATTTGGAGAAGGCTATTGCTGTGGAGCAGCGTTTTAAGGGAAATACTCAGTTTTGCTTTTGAACCAAAGGCTTGAAAAACTCACTCTGGGTCAAGTTGTAATAATATAATTATAGGCCCGCCATCTGTTGTCAACTCATTCTTCACTTTTGGAATGGTTTCACTAAGCTGAAGGAGCCAATTACGACTTAGAACAACTGAGCTTTCTAACGGAGCAATAGCGTTTGAGCCGGCTGTTTTGAATATTGTTTGAACTCTCCCGTCAGTAGCTCTTAAAGGAAGGCGCAGCCAGGGGGTCGGGCGTCAGGGGTCTGACGCAAGATTCTCCTACCGCCTTTGTCTAGAACTAGGGCAGCTTTAGAAAACCATTCAACATGAGCCTGACATGCTTGAGAAATAATAGCCTTCACCATTTGCCATATTAAATGTGGGTATTTCTCGTGGTTTGACTTAGAAAACCTCTTCTCCCCCACATTGGATTTCACCCCGTGCCCTTGCCAAGGGTCGGTTCCTCGGTGTGTGAGACAGAAGGAGGGGGGCCCCCTCTGGTGGAAACCGGGATTACAGGCCCCGGTGCTCGAACCCGAGTCCAAAGCCACCTGGGAGCGGCTTTTAGAAACCCCACAGGAATTCAGTGTGAAAATCCTCAGTCTAAAAACGGGTTTTCAAATTGCAAGCTGGGCTCCCTTAATGCAAGAGTTGCTAAACATTTTCTGTAAAGGGATAAAGAATAAATGTTTTTTGGCCTCGTGGGCCGTACAGTTGGTCTCTGTGACAACTTGACCGTCACAGTGCGACAGCATCTGCAGGCAAGAGGTTAGCCAAAGCGTAGATGAATCTGGCTGCGTTTCCATGGTTATTTACAGATGCTACATTTTAACTTCATACAATATTCACATGCCACAAAATAGACTTCTTTTGATTTTTAAAAAGTGCTAAAAAAGGTGAAAACCATTCTTAACTTGCAGGCCGCGCAAACCCAGGCAGGGGCCTGGATGCGGCCCGCGGCTGCGGGTGGCCGGCCGCGGCTTTAGTGCGGTCCGAGTCTCTGAGTGTGGGGCTCGCTGACCCGCACTGCACAGAGACCCGCAGGTGACTCCAAGATGCAGGTGAGGTGGCGAATGCGTGTGTTAAAGGGGCGTGAAGTCAGCCCACTGGGTTGTCGCTGCCATTAAAAAATTAAATTGTATGAAACCGAAGAGAGAGAGAACTTCCACCATGGTAAAGAGAGTTACTCTTTTGTGGAACTTTGTTTCATACACACGTGTGTTTACGTGTGTGTCTCTGTGCAATGACTGGCAGTGTGCATTCACTATGTCTGTATCATACTTGAGTCTGTATTGCGGTGGACACACCTGGTTATGCCTTATCCGAACACCTGACCTCCAGAGGGGCTGGGGGAACCCACAGGTGTGCCCGTGGCACAACTGAAATCCATTCCAGACGCCCACAAGCTGTTGGCCAGTTGTATCCAGCCTAGAACAAGCTCTGTGGGCTGTGCCGGGCCCATACAAGCAGTTCAAGTTTCTGTGTGTGCTGAGTCATTGAGATGGTGTGGCGTTCTCTGAGAGGGAACACTTTTTAAAACATAAACAGTGGCATGATTACCAGTGTTCTAGATACCTTCAAAACATCACAGGAGAAAGGTGAATAAACTGTAACATATATCTCAAAAGGTCAGAAATAAGAAGCCAGTTAATAAAGTATGGGATGAAGATAAAATATACTCAATGTCAGCTGTGAATTCACACATGCCTGTGGATTAAATTTCTGTATTAAAAGACACAGACCTTTAGATTAAGTCAAAGTAGACAAGAAAACAAAAACAAGAACCCAGCAGTGTATACAAGAACACCAGGAGCTCAAGTAAAACGAAAGAATGCAAAGTGTGTAAAAAAGTGCAAAGATATATTCGACAAAGTGAAATAAATAAAAACAAATGACAATTTTAACATTACAAAAGTAGAATTGAAGGCAAAACCATTAGAAAAGATGTAGAAGATTAATTTGTATTGTTAAAGGACATATTACCCAATGATTCTTAAGTATGTGTGACAATTACAGCCCGATAATATAACAAGAAACATAAAGCAAAAATAGCAGAACTCCCATAGCAGTGAGCAAATTTAACAGTCTTCTCCAATTGTGATAGATCAAGAAAGCCAAAAAGAAACCCTGAGAGGATCTGAAAACTATCTGCCTTGCCATCACAAGTGAGTAATGTAAACCTCTTTTGGGTGAATTTTGGGTGATAAGTCAATGAGGCTAAACTTTATCACATATTCTGACATTCCCATACACATATTTTGAAGTGATATTGATGAATTACCTGACAAGATGTTTTTGAGATCTGCATCAAGAGGCAAATTTTTATTAAATGAGACTATTATTAATATCATCAAATGTTATTATTATGAGATTATTATTAATAATGTTGGAAGTTAAAATAACTGGTCATTTAGGAGATGCATATTAACATATTTAGGGGTAAAGTGTCCTGATGTCTGTAGTTGACTTTCAAGTGGTACAAGAAAAGCATGCATATTTACACACGTATAGAGCAACAAAGCAAATATGGAAAATTATTCACAATTATTGAATGGAGGACTGGCGACTGGCTTCTTGCAGACTGAGCTGCCTGTTCAGAACAAGCAGAAAAGCTGAGCAAACGCAAAGCAAGGGGGGTGGGCAGAGGCTACCAGGGCAGCAGCATGCGAGGTGCAGAGGGCAAGCACGTGGTGGTGAGCTTGACATTGACCCTCGGCTTTCCTCTGGAGACACCTGTCTGTTGCAGGTGGGGCCTGAGAGGCTGTGAAGTTTGTCAGAGACTTTGCCAGTCCCTCGGAACTAGGGGAACTGGGTTCAGGGCCAGGGAGCAGATGGAGCTCTGGCAAACACTGACGTGGTCTGTTGGGTCCCCCAAAACACTACTCATGTCCTTGTCACCCCAATCCTTGCTATCATGGATCCTGACTGTATTTAAAGTTTTGGTATTTTATTCACCATTGATATTTTTGGAATTAATTTTGAGTGTCAAAAAATATTGCATTAAAATATTTATCTTGTTGACTAAGGTTTGAGCTGCTCCTTCAACTTTGGGCTGGAGGTAAGTTTCTCACTTGCCTCACCCTAATCTTAGCCCTGAATCCTCCACCTGAAGTGAGTGAATTCCACTGCATGACAATGACATCTTAGCAAGGCTGCTAAAAGCAGAAAAATGGTCTACTTTCACTAGCAATCCCCTATTCTATTGTCAAGGATAAAAATGGATCTGGCGCAGAATTTGGCAAGAGGGTATGGGGACAGATACTCTCCAAGTTTATTGTTGGGTGTATACACTGGTGTAACTTTTGGGGAAGCAAACTTGGCAATATTCACCACGAGCTTTAAAATGTATATAACACTAACACGGAAATATGTATCTATAAGGATGTTCATCCTAGCATGTTTAACAATATAGAGTAGAAGCAACCTGAATATTCAAAAGTAAGGCAGAGGTTAAGTAGACCATGGTTTATGCCTCAAATGTAATATTGCGAAGCCATGAAAATGTTTTACAGGTGTGTTTGCTAATGTGGACAAACATGCTCTCTGAGTGAGAAAAAGGCAGGTTTCAGAATATTTCACAGAGTAGTTTTTAAGTATGTCTTTGTTAAAATATCTGGGAAAACATCTGAAAGGTTTGCACAAAAGTTTCTGGTGTCTGGAGAGCAGAGCAGGGAACGAACTGTTGTCCTCTCCCTGGAAGGAGGTAGGAACGCGGGGTGAGGGCGAGGGCTGCAGCCCTCCTGCGTTTGCCCCCAGCTTCCTGGCTCAGTGACCGTGTGGCTTTGGGCCCGTTTTTAAAATGTTCTGAACCTCTGTTTTGTTTTTTTTTGTCTGTGCCATGGAAACAATACCTACTCCGTGTTGATGTGGTCAGGATAAAATGAAATAAACTATGTAAAGGGCTTAGCACGGTGCCTGGCACATAGGAAGTCTTTAGTAAGAGTGATTAATACCATCAAATTCTCATTTTTTCTTAATAAAGATGTGAAAACAAAGTGCACACCAGTCCCTCTCTTTACATGCGGTTTTTTCTGAAGTATAGAACTCCTTTTGTCTGTCCCTGGATAAATGTTCACGTCACTGGACTCTCATTACCTAAGGTCATAGGTGGCACAAAGATAAAGTGGAAAATCTGTAATTGGAGTGGAAACTGTTGAGGGATATTTACAAGTTTCAGTGACAGGAAGTGAAGAGTACAGAGGTCTAATGTGAACCATAAGGAAGTCTCCTTTTCAGGCTGGACTGGAAGAAACAGCTCAGCAGAAAACCTTGAACTTGACTCCTTCCTCATTTACTACCAGGGATCTAAACTTCTCTTCTCCTGAGTCAGGATCGTTTGTTTTTCTTGTTCTACTTAATTAATTGATTAAATTTAAGAACACCTCTGTAGGCTTGCTGGTGCGTAACTCGGTGGCCAGAAAGCAAGGCCTTCTGCTTTGGACCCTCGAAACAAACTGCTGTGTTGGAGTCTGGCCTAAGCCTGCTCTGCGCCCTGGGCATCGGGGAGGTGCTAGGGGGCTGCGACAAGAACTACGATGCTTTATGACTCGGGGCTCGCAGTGCTTTTGAGCTCATTTACTTCTCTGAGGCAGAGATGGGCCTGGACCCTGCCCGACCCCCACGATGTGAGAGAAGTCTCCTTTCTGACACTCCCAGCAATTGGAGTGTGGTTGTGGGCCACTAGGGGTATCATAACGGGAACAAGCCATGTCAAAAACAGGAAATTATTAAGGACGGGTTATCCTCCGCTCACCATCCGTTGTTGCTCTTTTCTTCCCGGATCCCTGAAATCAGTTTCAGCATACGTCATAACCAGGTTTGTGTGAGTGGAAATAAAGCACAGTGAAATGGATGCTGGGAGTCTGCTTTTCCTCCCTTCGTGGTTGTTGGCATTTTTAATGAAAGAGATTTCCTCTTAGAAAGCAGAGATTGGTTTTGTTCAGTTCACTTGTAAAAAACTTTTCCTGATTACACGTTGTGATTCTCTTTGCGGAAAATTTAGAAAGCATTAAAAAGGAGGAAAAAGTTACCCACAATCCCCATACCCAGAGATAGCCATAGTATGTTTCTTTTTAGTACTTTTGCTTTACTTTTAGTGTGGTTCATTTATCACAGAAAATTACACAGATAGGTATTTATTAAATACGTGGCTTTGATAATAATGGCTGGAAATCAATTACCTGCGCTCGTTGGTGAGGCATGTGTTACAGAGGTGGTCCCATTTTCTTTGGAGGTGACAATTGAAAAAATACAACCTATAAGGACAAGTTGGGGAAATTACTTAAAATGGTCTTCCCAAACAGGTTCATACATATTTTCAAAAATCCTCTAGAAACCAAAGTAAAAGCAAATTTAGCACCAGCATGTTGAATTCACTTTTGCAATTCAGAACCAGTGGACGTTAATTCTGAGATACCACCATTGTTTCCCTCTCTGAGGATGCCTTCTTCAAAGGAATGCAAAGTGGGGCGTCTGCGTCTTCTCAAACACCCCACTCCACACGACACCAAGTGGAAGGGGTTCCCAGGTCTGAGCACCAGTCTCCCGCCTCCAGTGCCTTTTCCCCAGATTTTGCAAGGTGGGCTCATAATGTCACCTCCTGGGGGAGAATGTCCTGCTACCCACTTCTAAAGCAGCTCCTGTGTCCTGTCTGCGGCCTTACCTGGTTTGACGTTCCTTGTCTTGTTTTACACTGCCAGGTATTTTAATAGTTCACTGGTTCTGGTTGACGCCTGTGTGCCCTCCGCTGTCCGCAGCCCCTCCCCCTGCCCACACCTGAGCTCCTTCGTCTCACTGCTCTGGCCTCAGTGCTGGACCCTTGACGTGGAATTACTGAGTGCACAAACGAGTGAATGATCGGACATGAAGTTATTTGCAAAAAAAAAAAAAACCCTTACTTTCCATGTGGCAATGACACCTGAGGCAAAGAATATTGGCTTTGGTCTGAAGATGATTGGAGAAAGCAGAACCATCATTTCTTTTTCCCTAGCCATTTTGTTTAACCTGCCTCCTCACTTTGGCCCGGTTCCCCTGTTCAACCGAAGAGTAAAGCTAGGCGGGGGGAAGCCCTCTTCCCACACCTGCCCCTGGGTGTGTGCAGCAGTCACATCATGAGGCCTTCTTCCAAGGGCTTCAGAAGGTGCAAAGGTGGTGAGAGCACTGGCCCTGAAGGCCAAGGGCGCTGTCTGAGTCCTGTGGCCTCGCCGGCCTCCCCCGAAGCATCATCTAAGGCATCGATCTGTATCGGCTGGAGCAGCTGTAGACATGAAGAACGCCTTTCTATCCCAGGAACCCTCAAAGACACATCAAGTTTTTCCAGATATTGTGCCTCATCCAAAGGAAAGAGTTGTGTCTACTTCGATTGAGTGACCCTGCTCTGCCCTCTGAGACAACACAGGGCAGACCTCTCTTCTCTTCTGTGTAAAACCCTACAAATACTTGAATACATTTAAATATTACTCCATTTGGTCTTTTCAAGCTAAGTGTTTTCATACTTTGCTACTTAAAAAAAATTCGGAGCAATCTTCTGTTTTCCTGTAATTTTCCTCGTTGCAGACCGAGGTCTGTTCCCTAGTCTATAGTTATCATCATTGCTAAATGCTCACTCAGGACTTCACTGTGCGGCGGGCACTGGAAGAAGTACATTACGTTAGTTAGCGCCTGTGTTTCGTCCTCATGGGATTACCGTGCAGCAGCTACCAACGCTGTCTCCGTTGCATGGATGAGGATGTCGAGGCAGAGAGGTGAGGGGTTTGATTTCGTTGTTCCTCAGCCGTTCACATGTGCAGCCAGGTTCGAACCCAGTTCTCTCTGTCCCTATACCAGCCAGCGCTTTAACCATTACACTATTTTATTCCCCAAGGGATATCAGCAGATGCTGGCTCTCTTCCCTGCCTCCTGCAGAGTGCCCAGCAGACACCCGGTGCTTGCTCTGGCCTGAGTTAGAGCAATGTCCCACGGCTTGCCTGCATTTCCAATGACGGCCTCTCCGTACCTCTGTGCTGGGCACTGGCATTGCCAGCGCATGAATGCTGCATTTTGAGAGGGTGACCACCATGATGTTCTCGGGAAGAGGCCAAGCAGAATAACAATGTAATACAACTTAAGAATACCCCTATGTTATTTCTTTCTTTTATGGAATTGATTTAGTTGTAACCCCAAACCACAGAACACCTAAGCCAAGGGAGCTGTTTTTTCTCTTCCCCTCCTCACACCTGGGTCACGGACCCACACAGAGAGAGAAACATGACCCCCAGGGTCTCAGAGTTCATGCGTGTGGCTTGTACCCTCATGTGATTACTGTGCAGCGTCTCCCCTCTCCTGGGGGGAGATGGAGGAAATGATAATTTCTTGGAAAACTTCTTAAACATTGAGGACTGTGTATACAACTTCATCCTCATTAATGAATCTTGCGTTTAGGAGTTAACCTCCTTAAAACACCAACAAAGCAACACATGTATCCACGCCAAAATAGTTCTCCTAGTACGTGATAAACATTTTCAGATTCTAGCGAGGCTTGGGGTGAAAGCGTGCCTCTCACACCGGAGAACTCCGATCCAGCCATGGTGGCTGGCTCCCTCATGCCAGGCCCTCCACCCTGACGGCTGAGTCCCGGTCAAACCCACCCAGCAGCCTCGGGCCGGGAGATTATACTCACTCTTCTAGTCCCTGAAGCAAGATCCAGCCAAAGTGTGATAGCTTATATATTAATTTCTAATCTCATATCCAACATAGTGGCATCAGGTTAAAATTTTTTTTTCACTTACCTGACAATAGTAATCCTATGACTATATTTCTGTACATCTTGGGACCATGAGCCGGCTCCCGAAAGTCAGTGCAAGACAAGCAGCAGAGAGAATGGAAGTGTCAGCGTGCCGCCCAGCCCTGCCTTATCTCTGGGCCCACCTGCCTGGGCCGCAACCCCTGATAGGCCCAGGGGGGCATTTTAAATGATGCAGTGTAGTCGAACGTCTGTCCGTAAAGATACATGGGTATCTGCTTAATGTGGATCATTATTAAAGTATTAAGTGAGAGCTTCAGGTCAAGGAACTGGCTAGGACATGCTCATTTGACTTTGCGTGAAGTCCATGGGCATGACAGTGGGGGCTTGCAGTAGCAGCTGGGAGCCCCTGGGGGGCAGACGAGTATTGGACCGTGAGGGTCCGAGGCCAGGGCGGGAGCGAGGCTGTGGCGGCTGGCCGGGGGTTAGGGACTTTCCATGTTTAATGTGGAGGCTCTTGAGTGCCAGGATGGAGCTGGCTTCTGACATGTGAAATAAATGCGTTTCAGAACTTCAGTGACTTCAGGTATGGGTGCTCCGAGGTTTGAAAAAACTCTCACACCCATGACCAAGTCATACAGCAGCGTAAGAATACACGAGACACAAAGAATCTCTAACTCAGAATAGAGTGTGAACTGAACGGCTGCCCAACCAGCGAGCGTTTCTGTCTGAAATGTGCCCCGCTGAGCAAGCAAAAGTTAGTGCCAAGACAATAAATACGAATGCTCAAAACTAGACGCAGACAGACACACCAAAACCCTTGTTGTGAAGCGGGTTAAAATGAAGTGCGGAGGGAGGGGCAGTCTGAGGAAGATCAAGTTTAACGGCAAACAGAAGAAAAGCAACGTGAATCAGATCTGAGACAGCTCAAAAGAAGGGATTGGATACTCCAGCTGAATTATCTTACTTCCTGTAAGAGGGTTTGTGAAAGTTGTCAAATGTATCATGTTTACCATTTTACCCCAAAATGTGGTTTTAAAAAAGTTATGAGCCCTGGCTGGTGTGCCTCTGTGGATTGAGCACCAGCCTGTGAACCAAAGGGTCACCAGTTAGATTCCCAGTCAGGGCACATGCCTGGGCTGCGGGCCAGGTGTCCAGTAGGGGGCGCTTGAGAGGCAACCACACACTGATGTTTCTCTCCCTCCCTTCCCCTCTCTCTAAAAATATATAGATAAAAAATTTTAAAAAATGTTATGAAATGATGTTTGCTGCCTCAGGAAATTGAGTCACAGGGGGAAAAATCATGTATGGGGGGAAAAGATGGAGATAAATATCAACTAACACCCTAAGTGGGGGGCAGGGGGCTGAGACTGAGGAGGAGGAGGTAGGGAGCTGAGAAGCAGACTAGGGGGAGATTAAGACTGAAGCATACAACCCTGGCTGGTATAGCTCAGTGGACTGAGTGTGGGCCTGTGAACCAAAAGGTTGCTGGTTCGATTCCCAGTGGGGGCACATTCCTGGGTTGTGGGCCAGATCCCCAGTAGAGGATGTATGAGACACAGCCACACATTGATATTTCTCTCCCTCTCTCCTTCCCTTCCCCTCTCTATAAAAAGAAATAAAATAAAAGAATCTGAAGGTTTAAAAAAAAGACTGAGGGATGCAGAGGGGTCTCTGAGGGGCAGTGCAAGGGCCTGAAAGCCTCAGAACTCTTGAGGCCCTCTTACGGCCCTGGTAGAACAACACAGCGACATTTACAAGTAATTACATGGAACCAATATTTCGTGTACCCATACGTTGGCTAAACCCAGTCATGTTGTCGTGGGTGGGTATCAGGTTGGGCAGCAGACGTTGTTCTCAGCAGACAGCCAGATGAAGGAGAGTTGGTAGGTGTTCATGTAACTAATAAAGAATGATTTCCGCCCTGGCTGGCGTAGCTCACTGGATTGAGCACGGGCTGTGAACCAGTGTCACAGGTTCGATTCCCAGTCAGGGTACATGCCTGGGTTGCAGGCCATGACCACCAGCAACCACACATTGATGTTTCTCTCTCTCTCTCTCTCTCTCCTTCCCTTCCCTCTCTAAAAATAAAAAAATAAAATAATAATAATAATAATAATAATAAAAGAATGATTTCCTGTGATTTTATGTTGATAAGAGGAGAGCAATTAGCACGAGCCTTACAAGATGCCATTTCCCTTTGAAAGTAAGTAAAGAAATCAGTCACTATCCCCCCAATGGACTATTAGGCAGCTATTAAAATCATGTTTTCAAGAATAGTTCGTGACGTGGAGACTCGGGATAAAAATAGGTAAATGGAAAGCAGCAAGATCCAAAACTGCACATACAAAAATCAAACCCTATTTGATTCTTTAAAAATTTTTTTTCTTCTGTCTGTGTTACCTCTGCCTGAAACACTCTTATTCTTTTCTTTTTTTAAAGATTTAATTTATTTTATTTTTAGACAGAAGAGAAGGGAGGGAGAAAGGGAGAGAAACATCAATGTGTGGTTGCCTCTCGCAAGCCCACTACTGGGGACCTGGCCGGCCCACAACCCAGGCATGTGCCCTACAGGGAATTGAACTGGTGACCCCGTGGTTCTCAGGCTGGCCCTCAGTCCACTGAGCCACACCAGCCAGGGCTCTTATTCTTTTCTTACACAGCCTACTTCCATTTTGCTTAGGGTCTCAATTTAATAACACTTCCCCCAGGAAGCCTTCCCTGACTTCCTAAGTCTTCACCAGGGCCCCTGCTCTGCACTCGTATTATACCCTATTCTTCCCTTATCACCTTTGGACTCTAAGTGGGTATGCCCTCTGGACTCTAAGTGGGTATGCCCTCGCCTGTGGCTATCTTATTTACCAATGAGTGTTTGGGGGCACAGTTGACAGTAAATATTTGTCAAGTCAATAAATAACAAATGAATATTTCAATGTGGAGGGAAGCAACTTCTCTTGGGCAGTCTTGCTGATGAGAGCAGAGGTCCACCTTTATATACACATCCTCTGTCATACCTTAGAGTCTGGTTACCCCATCATGGAGGCCTCTTGCTAGGGCAAGAAGGAGAAAGGGTAAATCAGCCGAGAATCCAGCTTTCATCGCTCCTTCAGTCTGGAGTGACTGGCCTCTGAGAGCACTTTCTTTTTTCTTTTTTTTTTTTTTAAGATTTTATTAAATTTTTTAGAGAGGGAAGGGAGGTAGAAAGAGAGAGAGAGAGAAACATCAATGGCCTCTGAGAGCACTTTCTTTTTTCTTTTTTTTTTTTAAAGATTTTATTTATTTATTTATTTAGAGAGGGAAGGGAGGGAGAGAGAGAGAGAGAGAAACATCAATGTGCGATTGCTGGGGGCTGTGGCCTGCAACCCAGTCATGTGCCCTGACTGGGAATTGAACCTGCGACACTTTGGTTCACAGCCCGCGCTCAATCCACTGAGCTATGCCAGCCAGGGCTTTGAGAACACTTCCCTGTGACCTCCTGCTTTCCTAGAGAGTCACTTCGTTAGTCTTAGGTTAGATGCACCAGTGCATTTATTGTCCTTGGGTGCCCCTTTTCCCTGAATGTGTGGGTCCTGTCTCCCTTGTTCTATTCCCAGCTTTAGACACAATACCCTACAGAGTCTTCGAGGCAGTTAATACATTGTCATCCGTGCTGGCAACCAGATGACATGGGTAGTCACCTGTATGAACATGAGGCCACGGGAAAGGAAATGGGTGCTTTGTTCTTTGTCACCCAGAAGGACTAGTCAGGGCTTAACGTGAGGAGCGGGCACAGGCCTGGGTCCCGTCAGGCAGACCTGCTGACCTGATCGTTGGTGTTGTCACATGCTGTTGAGTCGGCTCTGACTCCTGGCGACCCTGTGAACGAGGGGTGTCCACACTGTCCTGTCCTCAGCAGCCCAGCTCAGCTCCCATAGGCTCATCCCTCCGCCTCTTCAAATGGAGTCAACCCATCTCATAGTTGGTCTTGCTCTCTTTCCGCTGCCTTCTGTTTTTCCAGCATTATCTTCCAGCGTTATTTGGAAAAGACTTCCAAAGAACTCTGCCTTCCCATGAGGTGCCCGAAGTAGGACAGCCTCAATTCGTCATTTCTGCCTCCAGCGATGTTTCAGGTTTAATTTACTCAGAACCTATAGGGTTCTCAGTGTAGAAATGGGAAGTCTGACACAGCATTTGAGTGTGGACGCAGGACTCTATACTGACCTCTAGTGGCTCATCTGCATAATGCAAGGAAAACGTTGAGACCAGAAAATACAACAGAAAAAAAATACACAACAAAGGGCAGTCTGCTTTTCAGGCGTTTTTTTCCCGTCTTCTTTGTATTCGGACTGACACACCTGTTCTGGATCACCAAAATTTTGTCCTAAGTGTTCTTTTAAAAACATATTGCCTTAGTTGTCAACATGTAACAGGAAGTGGGTATTAACTAAAAATCAGGAAGGGGATTTAATGAAAAATCTGGTCCCACTTAGACAACACGAAGACCCGTGAAGAGTGAGCTTGCGTTCCCACCAAACAACCATTACTGCAGCTGAAGATTGGCTGCGCCTGGGGACAGGCAGGCTTTCCTGAATAATCTACTACGTGCTTGCCTGATATTCCCAGCAGTCAACTTTGACTACATTATGCGCTGATAAAACCTCAAAACCTCAGTGTCTTACAGCAACTGGGGTTCGTTTCCAGCTCAAATGACATTTCTGTGGTGGCTACAGGTTCTGGGATCCGGACTGAGGAGCAGCCCCCTCCTGGATCATGCTGTGCTTGCTCCAGAGGGAAAAGAAAAATGGTCACGTGGGGCAAAGACTTTCAAAGCTTCTGCTCACACATGGTATGTGTTGTTTTTGCTCACGTTCTATTGGCCAAACCAAATCCCGGGCCGAGCTGACATCAATGGGGCAAGGAAGCCTACTTGCTCCAAAGGGAAGTCCTGCAAGTCGTACGACCATGGTGAGAATATATAAACCACTTATGGGAAGGGCAGTAATTGAGAACAACAATATAATTGGCCACACTCATTGAAACTCTCTGCCTAGCTCTTTTCTGCATTGGGTTTGCAAATCCAGTTTAACTAGATATCCACAAAAGATAAATCTAAGTAGTTTCTTACATTTATTTTTATTGAGATGTAATATACACAGATTTTAAGTGTACAACATGATGGATCAGTTATACA